TTGGTTAAGGCATTGTGACACGAATGTTGAATGCTTAAAGTTGGTTAAGGCATTGTGACACGAACGTTACATGCTTAAAGTTGATTATGGCATTGTGACACGAACGTTACATGCTTAAAGTTGATTATGGCATTGTGACACCAATGTTGCATGTTTAAAATCAGAATTTTGTAAAGTCGCGTTGTATCCTCAGCTACTTTTCTAAAAGAGCTTTTTAATGGCACTTCTGGTGTCCGGAGTCACTTGAAGGAATGTAATCCGTCACCTAAGAACGCTCCACACCTGTCGATCACTTTAGCCCCAATAGGGTGGGATCTATCACTCATTAGGGTGAAGGGGCTAACTGCACTAGCAAATGATAACATAAATGATCGTATAGAATGTGGTACTTATCATGAACATTATCATTCTGCAGGATATCGAGGGTTGTACCTTCACTACCGCTTTTCCCTCCTCACACCATACTTCCACCACGGCCATGTGCATCTCTTTCCTGTATGAAAATGGAATATATATATATTGGTTGCATATTTATTTGCTTAGAGGGTTGCATGCAACTTGTTTGTGAAAACAACATTGCTTCTCGTGTTGTCGGTCCATTAGACGTGTTTTTGGTACTACATCCGGTGAGCTGTTTTACTCACTGACATCAGTAGAATGTATCTTATTGAGCCTCTGGGAAACAGAATGACTTTGTGACAACTGTTTCTAACTATTAGTACACTGACAATACGTCCAACTGTGAATATCTTATTAAATCTTAGTTGCGGGAAACCAGAATCGAGAGATAACAGCCGTTTTCTTGTGTTGTACGTGATGGTCTGCCTGATATAGGTGTCCAAACAACCGTACCTTTCATTTGGAAGCAATTCAATTTTCTGCTAACGACACTCTCAGAGTTTGGTGAGAATTCTCAAAAGCCTAATGGGATTGGCTGATGCCTCAGGTCCAGCCGTGGTTCATGAACAATTGTAAGTTCTTTGAACTCTGTGTCCAAAGTGACGAATGAAACGAGACTGTGTGAGGCCACTATATAAAGAGTATAGGTTGAGTGACCAATCACGTGCCTTTCAGGTCACATGACTGATAATCAGATGCTCAATTTGCATAAAACTTAACTGAAAACGCTACTTTCTAACTTAGTTATAGGGATAACTCTCATAGCTAGACTATTGCGAAATTCCACCGTCGTTTGGGTCTAAGTTAGTTAGTGTGCTGTACATATAACTTAACTGAAAACGCTACTTTATAACTTAGTTATAGGGATAACTCTCATAGCTAGACTATTGCGAAATTCCACCGTCGTTTGGGTCTAAGTTAGTTAGTGTGCTGTACATATAAACTTAACTGAAAACGCTACTTTCTAACTTAGTTATAGGGATAACTCTCATAGCTAGACTATTGCGAAATTTCACCGTCGTTTGGGTCTAAGTTAGTTAATGTGCTGTACATATAACTTAACACAACAAGAAACTAACTAGCTCAATTGTAGCCCGGCATGGCAAGGTGGTTAGGGCGCTCGACTCGCAATCCCCGTCCCACCAAACATGCTCGCCCTTTCAGCCGCGAGGGCGTTATAATGTGACGGTCAATCCCACTATTTATTGTAAAAGAGTAGCCCCAAGAATTGGCGGTAGGTGGTGATGACTAGCTGACTTCCCTCTAGTCTTTCACTACTAAAGAGTGGACGGCTAGCGCAGATAGCCCTCGTGTAGCTTTGCACGAAATTCGAAAAACAAACAAACAAACAAGCTCAATTATATTTCATGGAAGATAAATATTTTATATTGAAATTCTAGTGAAAATATCCATAATCTACAAGTGTAGAAACGGGTAAAAAAGATGAAGTTATAATCACATGCAATGAGAAGTTTCTTTCTATATTGTAACTAACAACTGTATTCCTCCACAAATTTACTGACCGATAGTTTTAGTTTGGTTTTGAGTTTCGCACAAAGCTACTCGAAGGATATTTGCACTAGCCATTTCTAAATTAACAGTGCTAGACTAGAGGGAAGGCAGCTAGTCCTCACCACCCACCGCCAATTCTTAGATTACTCTCTTACCAACGAATAGTTGGATTGATCGTCACATTATAACGCTCCCACGGCTGAAAGTATGCTTGGTGAAGGGGATTCGAGCCAGCAATCCTCAGATTGCGAGTCGAACACCTTAACCATCAGGCCATGTCAGGGCCCGATACTTTTAGAGAAATAACTGCTAACATACCCACAGAACATATGGTGTCCTCCTCGTCATATCGGTATTTACAGTTAAAGTGTCCGTTACACTTGAGGGATTTATCCACACACGTTCCATCTCCACAGTCAAATTCTTTGGATTCGTCACATTGCTCTGAAAGATAGCAAGTTTAAAACCATCAATCAGAATTTCTCTCTTCAAACTTTGTAGCTCAAAGTAAACTTATATAGCATATTGTCTAGTATTTTTTATTCCATATATTTCTTTGTTTGTAATTAA